GGGAACAGTGTCCGGAGCTCTGGGAGCACCAGCTGGAGCTCTGGGAACAGCGGCTGGAGCTCTGGAATAGCAGCTGGAGCTCTGGAACAGCGGCTGGAGCTCTGGGAGCACCGGCTGGAGCTCTGGAAACAGAGGTTGGAGCTCTGGGAACAGCATCCGGAGCTCTGGGAGCACCGGCTGGGCCCTGTGGCATCACCCACCGAACCACGGCAGTGCTGGCGGGTCTGGAGGTGCGAGGGCCGGAGCTCTGGGGCTAATTTTAGCTTGCACTTGCAGTGCCTTTGCCTTTCTCACCCAGCAGAGCTGCCCTGCCAGCGCTGAGGGCCTGGCTGGTGCCCCGAGCCGCCCCGCGCACACGCCGAGGGAAGGCCGCCCGCCTGCGCCGTTTATAAAACGGCCAAGTGGAAGCCAAAAGACTTGAGTCTAATCCCTCCAGTTAAGTCATCTAGATTCCTTCTCGCCACCAGCCATCTGATCTCAATCAGCAAATCTTGGCCCTCCTCTCCTGACCCAGCAGTGCGGTGCTGAGGCCTGAAGTAATCTGCATGCGAAATGTTTTAGTAATGATTCCTCCAGGAGGGGCTGCTTCGATTGTTATTTCCCAAAAGCCTTCCAATATGAAAGGGGTAGGCAGACAACAAAGGTGCCTCAGTAATGTTTGCCATCAATAATTTGTCAGTGTTCTGAAAGGTTCCTCCATTTATTTTCAGTCCCTGTGGTTAACAGAAGCCTATTGAAAGACACCTATTTATATGCAAGCCTTAAAAGTAATCACTGGGTGTTAAACGGGATGTGCTTTTAGTCTGAAGGTGCTTCCAATTGTCTGTGAGTAGGATTCAGCAAGTAAATGAAACAGAATTAAACATCTGTGTCTTTAACATCAATAAACAGCATCACCTCTAGGTGCAGTGCATGCTTCAGAAACGCTGCAGGATCTTTGTAGATTTATAAACTCACAGAATGGTTTGGGTTGGGAGGGACCCTAAAGATCATCCAGTGCAGGGACACCTTCCCCTGTCCCAGAGTGCTCCAAGCCCTGTTCAGCCTGGCCTTGGGCATTGCCAGGGATCCAGGGGCAGCCCCAGCTGCTCTGGGCACCCTGTGCCTCCCCACCCTCCCAGGGAACAATTCCTTCCCAATCTGACCCTACTCTGAGCCTGAGGCCATTGCCACCTGTCTCATCACCATTACACTGATTTCACCATCGCTCCAAGCACCTCCAGCACCAGAGAGCCAGACCTGGGACCAAAAGTGTGAAAATCTGGGAGAGCAGCAGTGATGTCTGATGGGCAAGATCTTGACAGGAAATCCTTGGAGAACCTCAACCATGAACACACCCGTGGCTGCTCCTGTTGCAGGTGCCCCTCAGGGACACGAGAGCTTGCTGGAAGCTGCTGAAAGGCAGTTGGTTGCTGTGAGAACTGGGATATTGGGATGGGGATTCTGGAATGCTTGGCTGGCGTATTTCCACTTTGGAAGCCAACATTACTGCCCTTACAGGAGGGCTCCCAAAGGAGAGGAGAAAAGAGAAGATGAAGAAGGGCAGTTCTGTTCAACCCCAGGAACCCCAACTTCCCCTCCTCCTCACACCTCAACCTTCCCCGCTCCTTTCCTCACTTCCCTGTGGTGTTAGTTGGGATAACGCAGGAATCACCTCACAATTTCATACATGGAGCAGGCAGGGGAGGCAGAGGAAACAGGATCTGTCATTTTCAACCCAGATAATTGCATTACAAAGCTCAGCACGGTTTTCATTATTGTGCCGTGTTCAATCAAGCTCCATCCCAAAGGTGCACACGGATCTCAGGCTATTCCAGGCCCTGGCAGCTGCTTCGCTGTACTTGCTCCTTTTAATTTTTATTTTTTTTTCATCTCAGGGCTTTTAAAATTGATGGGAGGCTGAAGGCAAGAGCTGATGCATTGTAGATGACAACAAAAGAGGCTCCATAAAATTGCTTTTGGCATCTCGTGTGCGTTCCGTCTACATCTTATAAATTACTGCTGCATTACAGCGATAAAAATAGGTTAGTATTTGGAATTGATTACAGAGAGATAAAGCCCTAATAAAAAAAAAAAGCACTGATGCATAAATATTCAGAGCATACAGGGGTAATTTGATTTGATAAAATAAAAGTATGGCTCTTAATTTCTTCCTTTTAAACAGAACACACACGCACATGCAGCACAGGGAGAACTTCAGCAGCTGTTCAGGATTCGCAGAAATGGGTCTGTGCCTCTTACAGCTCTTCCCTTCAGACATTTTTATGGCAATCTCTGCATCACCAGCATTCCCACTGCTGGGTAATATTCCTGCTGCAATCCCAAAGCATTCAGCCCAGGCCTCTGTGCTTCTTCCAGGTGATAAACACTGATTTTTCTCACACCACAACTTTTCCCGTTCTCTCCCTCACTTCCATGTGACATTAGTTGTGACAGTGCAGGAATTACTTCCCAATTTCATCTATGAAACAGGCAGGGGAGGCAGAGGGAAACAGGATCTGCCATCTCATCAACCCAAATAATTGCATGACAAAGCTCACGGTGTGAAACCTGTGTCCCTCAGAGCTGTTTTATTAAGCAGGCTGTTTCTCTGGAGCTCACTGTGCAGCACATCAGCTCTGCAGCCAGCACTCTCACCTTCACTGGGACTGCAGGATCAGCAGAGGGAGCTGGGATATTGTTTTCTACACTTCTAATATAAATGGAAGCATAATTTTATTTACACGAGGAGGAGGGAAGCAGCGATTCATGTTTCAGCACAACCAGGCCAGCACACTTTACTCCAGCACAGCGCTTTGGCTCAGACAATAATTCAGGGTGAACGCTGGCCTTGCAGCAGGACAAAGGCATGGCCTGAGAGCCACCCTTTAAAGAAAGGCAGGTGACAGCGATGGGGCTGGCAGGGGAACCCGGGATGCAGGACCTGGGCAACCAGCAAAGCCCCACATCTGTTCTGCAGCCCAGCAGCTGCACCCAACCCCTTGGGCCACATCCCCGCGAGGTGCTGGGCTCTGACCCAGCCCAGGACCCGGAACTGGCCACGGGGCTGTGTCCCCTTGGACCCTGCAAGAGCTGTTTTTTGGGAGGGCTGGGGGCAGGAAGCCGCTGCTGCCGTCCCTCCGGGCCGTGCCTTTGATGTGGGCTGGACGGGATGTGGCTGCGCCTGCTCCCGCCAGCCCGAGCGGGGAAAGGGAAACCAGCGGCAGCAGGGCTGACAATTATCCCTGTCGAGCAGCTTGAGCATTCCTGGGCTTTCAGTAATGTACCATAAGCTGTTGGGAGTAAGATGATCCCCAAAAACCTCCCATAGGAACGGCAAAAACAGCCCAAAGCGTGCCCCGACACAACCGGTAGCGCTGAGAGAAACACAGGTAGGCCGAGAGAACGTTACTTTTAAATTTCATTTATTTATCTTTGTGTACATTTTCCGTAATTCGACTGACATACCATTGCTATAAAGATGCCCTGCTCTTTGAATATTTCCATCCAAGACCACTAGTTTCAAGTGTGGTTATGAAAAGTCACGGCAAACATATGACTGGAAAGAGGTGGTTGGTTTTTGACTTCCAGGCAGTTGTTTGAAGCATTTCAGAGATGCACACGATATTCAGCAGAACACACGCACGCACAGTGCTGGCTTACACACACACACACACGCACACACACATCTGGAAAACTGTTACAGTGGTTGAAGTCTCCAAAAAGGTGTACTGTCCCCTCTCAGCAGCAGTGAAAAACCTCTGGGTATCCTGAGAAATCAAATCAAAGCACAGTAAAGAGAAGTAACTTATCCCATCAGCAGGGTTTGGGGGTGGTTTATTTTCAAGTCAAATGTGTTTTGCCAATCTGTATGAAGTGAAGAGGGTGGGGAGAAAGAATCTGTGGCAGTGAAGGTTAAAGAATACCAGTTCAGCATGGATCCTAAAAGCATCTCATTAAAACAACACGGAGTAAAAGTCCCTCAAACGTTACACACACGGCCCTACTATCCCTCTGCTGCTCCTGCTCATCTCCAGAGCACGAGGAACAGCACTGAGATGGGTGAAGACAGCACAGGAGGCGTTGCAGGTGGAGGGGATGTGCAGGTGGGCAGCCAGGTGAGCTCGGCAGTCCCTGACTGATGAAGCGTCTGCACCTGGCTGGGCACCGGAGCTGGAGCGTCCAAACCCTGGGCAAAGCCCACAGGCACTGACCAGCACCCAGTGCTGCCTCACACTCACTCCAGCACCTCTTTCCTTTTCAGTGACACCCTCTGAGCTGCTCTGTCTGGCCAACCCGACCTCCCCAAGGCTGGGACTCGGGGTGCTGCTGCCTCAGGGCGCGGCGGGTTGGATTCTCACAAGGAAAGAGTTCCCTTGACAAGGCTAAAAACTGAAAATCCCCCACTCTGCACTGTGCTGCCTTTAACCCAACAGCACCTTGGCCTCTGCTTCACTGCCTGCAGCCCAGGGCTCTCCTGAGGAGCTGGAGCTGCCCCGTGCCCTGGCTCGGAGCGGGGTTGTGCGAGGTGACGGGCGGCGCGCGGTCCTGCCGAGGAAACCAGCGAAGCCTGACACAACACAAACAAACACCAAGCAATTAAAAGAAGGATGGGAGATGTGGTCTGATGTACTTCTGCCAAGAAATAAATATTTTACGCTGCCTTTTTATTTTTTTCTTTTTTTTTTTTAAAAGCACTTGCATTGTGTTTTTTTTAAATCTCAAAATGGCTGAGTTACTCCCTGCACCTCCCCAAGCACAACACGTGCTCACACACACACACACACACACACACACCTCTCACACCCTCTAATGCACACAATTCCAGCTCTGTAGAGCTACTGGATTTACTTAGAGACGAGTTTCTTGTGCATTTGGACAATTTACTTTGAGACAAGTTATTTGCAAGAAGGCAAAGTTCATGCATGGCTTTGACAGCTCCACTTTCTCATAAATGGTTTTTGAAAAGCAGAAAGCAAATGAGGGCCAAAGCTCCATTTAAAGTTCACCTCGGATGCCTGAAAAGCATTTATACCCACATCCTTCTGAGGTCCCTGCTTTATGAACTTCTAATCAATTCCACATTCTGCTACCCAGCGTTTCTTATACGCTGGGGAAAGAAAACAAACCAGAAAAGCGGCGTGAGCTGTCTGGAAACAGCTGCACCACAGCACCCAGGCTGCCCAGGGAAGGGCTTGAGTCACCCTCCCTGGAAGGGCTGGAAATGTGTGCATGTGGCACTTGGGGACGGGGTTAGTGGTGGCCTTGGCAGCGCTGAGTTTTTGGTTGACTCGATGATTTTAAAGGTTTTTTCCACCCTACGTGACTCTGTGGTTCTCTGGTTCTGTTATTCTTTATCAGAAAGGCTGGGGAGGTTTCTGAAGCACCTTTCCAAGGGGAGAAAGGGGATAAAAAGAACAAAACCTGATGGGTTTTGAGCCCCAAAGCCCCGATTCTGCCTCACACTTGAGGGATTCCCCCAGAGCAGGCAGCTGCTCGTGAATTGCTCCATTATTTCTGCAGGACACGTGTCCTCCAGCCCCAGAGGTGACACTTGGCTGTCCCCAGCCCTGCCTTGGCCAGTCCTCACCACCCAGGGCTCCAGCAAACTCCAGGTTTGACAGAGAAAAGCCTGGCACGAGCCTGGGACAAACCAAATTCGTCACCAACCAGATTTGAATTTTCAGGTGGAAAGTGGCTGTCTTCTCAGAATTCAGCTGATTTTACTGATTGATTTAATTGATTTTAGTGATTTGACAGAGCATTCTACCAGCTAAACTGAACCCTGGTGCTACTCAATCCCCTCTCAAAGGAACATCTGAAACCCACCTCGTGCTTCCCTACTAAAAACCTAAAAGTGAGCAGGTTTCTTCAGAAGCCCCCAAAACTCCAAAAAAAAATTTAGAATATTTTAAAACAAGATTCCTTATCCCCGTCCCTAATTCTAATGCAAACCGAGACACTAAAAAACAAAAAAATAATAATCTAAGTTGCTATAAATATAATTTAAAATCATAATTAGCTGTCTACTGCCATCCCAGCTGTTAGGAGCTACCACAGGGATCCCACATGGCTCGAGGGCAGGCTGGGAGATACCTTCAGCACCTCTTGGATAGTACCAGAAAGGGATAAATAATAAATAAGAAGAACATGAGAAAGAATAATCAGCTTTCCACGGGGATGGAAAAGCAGAGACTTTCCCAGTTAAGAAACCAAGTGATGTTACTGTAAAAAAAAAACCCTAAAAATGAAGTAAAATAAGGACTTGCATTACAGCAGGTTGAAAAGTCTTCTCCTTCCCAACATGTTCATGTGCCCTCTTCAACACCAGAGAACACTGGGATCTCGGTGCTTTTCCATTTTTGGGTTTTTTTTTTTTTTCCCTAGCCAGAATTATTTAGAAATATCCTTATTACAGATTTCCCACCATCTTGAGAAAAAGCAGATTTCACACCTTAAGATAGAAAGTCTAAAAATCCTATCTATTGATGGGATTTCTGAACGTGGATCTTTGCCAATAAAACTGTAATTCCTTAAATTGAAGATTTTGGACAATTTTGGAGAGTTGTTTCGTTTTGTTTTGTTTTTTCTCTACAAGAAATGACAAATTTTACTCCGACACATTTCCAGCTTACAGGAAGCTACATTTAGCAGCTTCCCCTTGTCGTATTCCTATTTAAAAAATGCAGAATTCCAGCTATTTTGGATGTTGTGACTATTTCCAGCAGCCCCTGGCACAGGGACAGCTCTCACCAAGCACAAACCACTCGATTCACCAAAATAAAAACAGCAGCCGAGCCCTGGAAATTCACTTTACACATGGATTTTAAAGGGAATATTCAGAGCCAAATCCTGGCTTGGGGGATATTGGATTCTGAGCCCCAAATCTGCCAGAAGCCCCCCAGAAGGCACAGTCCATGCTGTAGGTGTTTATGCAGGATTTGTGATTAAATTTGGGCTAAATATGGATGGAGAGCTCTGCAGCTGTACCTGGATTTGGGAAAATTTGATCCTGGCTCAGCAGCTCTGACAGAGACTGGGATTTATCTTTAAACACACCTTTTCTTGGCTTTTATCAGGCACCAAAGCCACATTTCTTCACCCTGCCTGTGCAAATCAAGGACAGCTGGCCCTTCCTGACTTTTCACAGTATCCATCCTGAAAAAAAAATAAAAAAATATAAAAATGCTGAAGGATTTTTGGGTGTTCTGGGGCACTCTGAGACGGCTGAATGCTCTCTCCTAGAGGGAAAAATCCCGTGAAATGGCAGAATCCAACACCTCCATCCCACAATTCCTGTGTCTGTGTGAGTTTTTGGAGGCCACAGATACTCCAGGCTGCTGTTCCAGCCTCCAGACATTGGCCCCTCTCACTGGAGCATTTATCTCCATCCATCTCCTGGAATGGTTTGGTGTGTCAGGTCACAGCCTTTTGGAAAGATCCTGGTCTGCTCTTTTTATTTCCTCAACAAGAATCATTATCTAGGGGCAGAACCAGACTGAATTAAAGCCTGATCTGGCCTGAATTATTCCTGGAAGATAAACCAAGCAGCAGCTTTCCTGATCAGCTCAGGAATACTCGGGGTGTGTTTAGTCTTTATTCAAAAATTACACCGCTCCGAGGTTTCCTGGATTTAGCTAAGCCCAAAAGTGAAAGTAACAGATCAAAATACCCCGAAATAAAACTTCTAGGAAGGGATTTCAGGTCTGGCTAAAAGCAGATAGCTTTGGAAATCGCCGAAAGACGTCTGATCTTTTGAGATTTCCATCTCTACTTCCAGCGCGCTTCAGGCGCTTCCAAGCTTTTCCCGGCTTGTCCCCGCAGAACCTCGCGGCCGCTGGACGCTCGCCCCGTCCTCTAAAAACCAGGAGCCTCTCGAGGAAGGGCTTGTGGCCCATCCTGGCTGGGCTGAGGCACCTCGGAGCGGGGCTGCTGCAGATCCAGCGCTCCCAAAAGGAGTTTGAGCGGAATGGCAGCAAACCTGAGGAGCTCCCGCTGGGGCTGAGCCCTGCAGGGTGGCTGCTTGGCCAATTCCCAGCTGTGGGATCAGGGAGAGGGAACTGGAGAGGACAGGCAGCTCCTTCCCCACTCCATGGACAGCTGAGGCCCCTTCCCGCTGGGGCCAGTGAAATCCCAGGCACAGAACACAAAGATGAAGGAGCCTCTCTCTCCCTGTCAGGTGTCCAGGGAGGCCAAGAGCTCTCCAGCATCCCAGGGATGCTCTGAGGGAGCCACACCACAACCATCCTGCAGCCCCAGCTGCTCCCTGGTGAACTCCCTCCTCCTGGTGGCCTGAAAATTGAGTAATTCCAGCATGAAGCTGCTTAGAGGCCTGAAAAGTTTCCCCTCTTCTCTCTCAGCTACAGAGGTCTCTCCCAGGCCTTTCCCATCCTTTCAGGCCATGCAGCAGCAGCGTGCCTTGGGCCACTTGCAGGTTTTTTAAATCCCTGGATTTAGATTCCCAGTGGCAACCTGGGACCCACTGCCCATCAATCTGGGCCTGAAGGAAGATGTGGGGAGGGAAGGGGCAGCCAGGCTGCTCTCAGGCCGTGCCCTCGATGGACCTGTGGCTGTGTCCTGCCTCTCCTGCTGCTCCAGACCCTCCCTGGCAGAGTGCACTGACACCAGCTGCCCATCACAGGACTCATTTTGTTTTAATTGCCATTAAACCCACCCTTAAAGTTCACTGCACTCTCAGAGTCCCTTTCATTTCTCCAGCAATGGATCTTTGTGCCTGCAGCACTGGCACCACCAGAGCTCCTGGCTGTGTTTATTCATCTGCAAACACCTCAGAACTGAGATGCAGCTTTTTCTGCCCCTATTCATTAACAAAAGCCACTGTTTTTATGGAGTGGGGTTATGTGAAGGAGCAGAGTCCTTTCAGCCTCCAACAGAGCTGCCACTCCTCCAGGGTGAATCTCCCAGCTCTGCAGAGCACAGGGCAAATTTCACATTCTCCATCTGCTCCAGCAAAGGCTGAGCTGAAATATTAATGAGGAGATCTGATCCCTTCTCAGCAGAAACAATCTGGGTTTTACAGCCCAGGCAGAGGCCAGAGGAGCAGGCAAAGCTCTGGGATCCATCCTCTGCTGCTGGTTAAGGGCTTTCAAGGAATAAAGGAACCTGGGGGGAAGACACAGAGTGTAAAACATGTGGACATCTGGTGTGTTCTGTGTGTTCTGTCCAGCCTTCATCTCCCCAGGCTCAGCCCCCTCCTCTGTGCACGGCCAGAGCAGAGAGAGGCTCTAACATCAACAACCGTAACGTGGCAATAAAGATTAATGAGCAAAACTTGCCATTTTATGTCTAATCCCTGGGGATTTACCATCATTAATCTTTATTAGTGTGTAATAACTGTTTAGAGAGTTAAAATCTAAGGACAGATTCTCAGCTGGACAAAACTGGCCTTGTTCCAGCCAAGCCAATGGAGCAGTGCCAGTTTACACCCTCCATGAGCCCAGCTCGACATGAGACCCATCCCATCTGTAGGAATCACACCACTGACAGTATTTCCCCAACAGCAGGGGCACACAAGTGAAGGCAACTATTTGTCTTTCCCTGTATCCCAAAAAAGAGAGCTGCATGTGTCCAGGAAGCTCAACAATAGACGTGTCAATAAACACGAGGAAATTCAATGAAAAAGCAACAGCAACAAAAGGAACCCCAAGGAGCAGGGAAATGGATGGTTTTAGAGGCAGGACTACAAGATCTGGTTTGGCAAGAGCACAACTAAGTGGGATCTTTGGCATGTGGAAGAGTGAAAGCACCAAGACGGGCTCCCAGAGTTCCTCTAACAGGAACAAGATGGAAGGGGAAATAAAAAAAAAAAAAGGAGCATCTTGGCTGGTTTTTCTGAGAGAGGAGTTTGGGGGTTGTTTTGAATAAAACAGATTTATTAAACACGGGAGCTTGGTGGGAACCTTGTCTGAACCACACCAGAGCAGCCACTGAAGCAATGCTGTGTTGATCAAGCAGGATTTCCTCTTCCAGAACGTGCAGGGAAGAAGGGAAATGTGCAGGTACACCCCTGGCTGGCAGCGGGCATGGAGAAATCCCTGCTGAGCCTTCCCAGCAGAAAAAGGTGCAGCAGCACCTGCTCAGCTACAGGGAGATGACTTGAGATTATTTTTTAGAGATTTTTCCAAGTAGGGACCCACCAACTGCCTCCAGAAATAAAGTTTTAACTTTTTTTAACTTTAACAAGCCAGAGTTGCCTCTTTGTCACCAGTAAACTCAACAAAAGCCAGGGAAAACCAGAGAAATACAGTACAGAGATACCTGTGTCAAGGTCTGTGCACCTGGAAGAACTCCAGGGAAGATGGGCATTGTACCCAGTGCAGCAGCATGAACCTGGGGTTTCAAACAGTAACCAGAAAATGCCCTCCAACTCCTCTGCCAGATTTAAGGGTGCAAAAGACTCTTGGGGACCCAAAAAACATCTTTCCTGCCAGTGAGACTTCAGAGCTCCAGCGATGGCAAGGCCTGCAGCACCCTGGAGATTGCAGGAGGTGGCAAGAGGAGGATGGCCACACACCTGGGCAGCCCTGGGGATGGGCTGTGCCTGCTGGTAACCTGTGGCAGGCTGGAGAGGCCCTCTCCACAGCTGGTCCAGCTCACAGCTCAGTGCTGAGCTCCCACAGCTCTGCTCCCTGGCTCTGGGGGTCTTTCAAGACCTGCTTCTCTAAAAATTCCAGTCTGGGGCAATCCCAAGCCCAAATGAACTGTGTGAACACAGAAAACCTTTGTGAAGAACATCCCTAAACCTCAACACCTGGGCTGCCCAGGGGGCCAGGCTGCCAGGAAAGGTTCCATGTCCCAGAGCCTGTGTCTGTCCCTGTGCTCGTGCTCTGGCCAAGCAAAGATCTGAGCAGCAACCAAAGGCTTTTCATCTTCACAGAGGTCACATGAAACCGCAGAGAGAAGAGCCTGACTCTGATCCTGCAGCCCAGCAGGGCTCTGAGGCACACAGGAGTCCCTGGCTCTCCTCCCCGAGCTGAAGCCACCAAGCTCAGGCTTCTCTCTCAGGAACTCCTGTGTCAGGCCAAGCTTTGTGGAGGGATGCAGGGCCAGAGCCCTGTGCATCTCACAGCGCTTTCCTCACCCTCACACAGCTCCACACTTACCCTGGGCTGGCGCAAACGACTTTGAAAGGAACAAAGTCACGGAGAAGGAGCAGGGAAGGGAAGTGATTTGTTGCGTGCCCTATTGTAATGTCATTAAAACAAAAGGATTAGAGCAGAAAGCATAAAAGCAAGCCCTGTGTGGAGGCACGGAGGAATCCTTTCAGAGGGTCACCAGCTGCAGAAAACACTGCCATTAATTCTCTATTGGAAAACGCTGGTGACATTAATATCTGCTATAAATACTGAGCTTTGACAGTATCTCATAAATTCGACCTGTCAATTACAATGGCACTGAAATGAAGGTGCTCTGAGGTCAAGGAGATGCGGTGTCCAAACGAGACTTATATTGCAGGGGAAAAACAGCAAAAACAATCTTTAACAAAAGCATCAGATCCATATGTAGGAAAACCAAAGGGTGGTTTTAAATGTCATGTTTTTCAAAGTGAGAATTGATGCTGGAACCGAGTCTATAAAGTGGCTGGCTGGACTTTCAGCTGCAGCTGAGGACAATCAATCAAAACAGCTCTGTGACTCTGAGAAAGTGAGAGAGAGAAAACACACACACACACCATGGAATATGAGAGGGCAGATCATGAGCCATGCGAGGCCTCTTAAAATTACACTGTGAAGTAAAACATCCTCGTGTTTCATCTGCCACGAAATGTAACCTGAAAGGTTCCCCTCGGCACGGAGCGGGGTGTGGAGCTTATCCTTTCCCGAGGGCTGGGCAGGCTCCTGGGGCAGGGCTGAGCAAGGGGAACCTGCTCCCCAAAGCCTGCACCACCCCTGAATGGCACCCTGATTCCTGCAAGCCCTCTGTGAGCCCCCTGCTCTGCAGCTGAGGGCACAAGGATCCATAAACCCCGATAAATGCTCCCCTGTCTCTGTCACTGCCAGCCCCAGGGCAGGGCTGCACCACCCCAGGCTCACAGCCACCCCTGTGGTGGCAGGGACAGTGACAGCCCAGGCACTGGCGGTGTCTTTGTGCGCCTCTTGGAAGTGTTGGCATGTCCCCAGCACCCCAGAGCCCCTGCTCTGAACACTGCCCTCCCCTTCAGCCCTTCCAGGGGATTCCCAAAATCCGCTCAGACTGTTCCAACCTGCACCAGCAGAGCCTGGAGCTGCTAACCTGGCAATGACACCCTGCACAGGTTCAGTGACACCCTGCACAGGATCAGTGACACCCTGCACAGGATGAGTGACACCCTGCCCAGGGTCAGTGCACCCTGCACAGGATGAGTGACACCCTGCACTGGTTCAGTGACACCCTGCACAGGATGAGTGACACCCTGCACAGGATGAGTGACACCCTGCACAGGGTCAGTGACACCCAGCACAGGGTCAGTGCACCCTGCACTGGTTCAGTGACACCCTGCAAGGTTCAGTGACACCCTGCAAGGTTCAGCCCTGCAGAGCAGGGGTCAGTGACACCCTGCAAGGTTCAGTGACACCCTGCTTGGCTCAGCCCTGCAGAGCAGGGTGTGTTTCTGGCTCCCAGGGGCTGTGCCCAAGCGAGGGGTGGGGATGGAAGCGCATGCAGGGCACGAGGCACTCGTGCAGGCCTCGTTCCAGGGCTGGGGGAAGGAGCCCCGGGCCAGGCAGCTGGGCAGGCATGGCTCAAACCAGCGTTAACGTGGAGCCAACACTCCCAGTGCCCCCTGCTCCAGACAGTGACTGACCCGAGGGCACAACGCTCTCCAGCTCCTCTCCCACCTTCTCCTGTCCCTGGCTCGCAGCTCGTCCCCGAGGCCAGCAGCAGGGAGCTCCTGGTCAGGGCGGGCTGTGGTGTCCCTGCGTGGTTTCCCAGGCAGAGCCCAGCGCTGCCTGCAGCATCCAGCTGGGGCTGGGCACAGCCCAACGCCCAGGCCAGCACAGGCTCCTGGGAGCGCTGCAATCCCCGGGCAAGCACGGAGGGATGGAGCCCAGGGATCCATCCGCTAATCCATCCCACTCCTGAGGGGTGCTGTGCATCCTGTGATCCCGGCTCATCCGAGAGAGGAGCTCCCCCCGAGCCCCCGAGCAGCTCATCCCCAGCCCAAGGGAGCCTCGGGCACTGCAACGCTGCTGGGCACCGACCAGGACAGCTCCTCCTCTTCTTTGTGCAACTTCTCTGACAACTCCTTCCCTCTGGGCCTTTTGTCCCAGACATTGTCCCAGCAATTCCCAGAGCTCCCAGCCTGCCCTCTCCAGCAGAGCAGGGCAGGGGGACAGGGCTGGAAGCTCTGGCCGGACTCAGAGCGCGGTGTCCGGAGAGGAGGTGACCACAGGGGACACCAGGGCCTCCCTCCCTGACACAGCTCGAGCAGCAAGGCTTGCTTATCCGTTCCTTTTATGATGCACATCACATATATTCCACAACAGAGACACTTCTCCTCTCTCCTCTCCTTGGGCACCTTTTCCCCAGCGAGCCCTACAAGTGCTGCTTGCTGCGGCCTCATTTTGCATCATCATCATCATCATCACCACGCACTCATCCTCATATAAAACAGAAATCTATTCCATCAAGCACTTAACATAAATATTAAAATAATGGAAGGGACAAAATATAAATCTACATACAACTTCATGACTACCATAGCACCTATTACCATGACAAAGCAAATTCTGGTTCAAGGGGAAGGGAAGGGGGATGAGGAGCAAGTTAGGAAGAGGAACTTCGACTGTCATTAAATATGTAAATCACTCTTTCAAAAAAGATTTTTTTTTTGTTGTTTTGTTTTTGTTTTAAGGTTACCAACCTTATTAAAATTCATTCCACTAACCAGCTCGTTCTATGTCACTATGGATACCAAAGAACCCTTTAAAAAAAACTCGGGCGAGGCGGGGGTTTCTCAGAATAAAAACAAAACAAAACAAAACACGGCGACTTTCTGTTGGTGCTTCCATGACAAGTCCTGCCACGCGCCCCTCCCCTGCACCCACCAGTCCACAGAAGGGCAATTCTTTTACAAGTCCAGTTCTCAGTCTCCCAGGATGAGCTTGACAAAAGAGGCGACGTCTGTCTCTTTGGATTCGTGCAGGGTGAAGAAAGGATGTTGCTGGGAAAGCAAAGAGAGAAAAAAAAACCAGCCAAGTTTATTAATCACCACGCTGAGCAAAACGCTTTTCAGACAATCCTCTAGACAGTGAAGAAGGTTTTCTCCTTAGCATCATAATATTGGGCTTTTACAGCTGAGGTGAGTCGGGGAGCACAAGGGTGCTCCGTGAAATTGCCACGGATTCCACCTAAACCCTGCCCTGGCTGGGAGGGCTGAGCTGGGCAGCTCTGGAGGAAAGGGGAAGGCTTAGAAAACCCTCTCCATCTGCCCCAAACACCCTCCAGACCACGCTCCAACCAGAGCAGGGAAAACCTTGCTGACTGCAGTGCTTTTCCCTCAGCTTTATCTGTGTGTTTACCCTCTGGTGACTCCTGGGTCTCATTTCTTCCCTGAACTGCCCCTCCTCGCAGCAGGAGCGGCTCCTTCACCTCAAACATCACACAGGAAAGCCATCCTGACTGGAAAACCATCCCCACTTGTGTGTTTAACCACTTCATCCTGACCCATGTGGGGAGACAGCCTGCCAGAAAACCCTGCACCAATGGAAAAATACAGGGAAGGAGAAAAAAACAACCAAACCCCACTGAGAGCAACCAAAGCCCCTCTCTGCCAGGACCAGCAACTCCCTTTGGTTGGTTCAGCAACACACTGAGCTGAAATCCCTCCTGAAAACCCCCAAAACCCAGTTTGACACCCACTGTGCTGGCAGATAATCGGGTTTATTTGTATGGAGGGCATCAGTGAGAACCAAGAGGCAGCCAGGCCCTGCAGGGCTCACAGTGATCTCTGCTCTGTACAAGGGCTTCACTCCCAGCCCTCGTGTTTCGAGTCAGATTTTTAAAGACAATTTGGGGTTTCCAGGGTTTTTTCCAAACTGCCCCTCACCTCAGTCCCTGAGCACTGGATGTTTCAATGATCTTTCATGGCAGTGGCCAAGTGGAAGGAGAAGAAGAGCAAAGAAAAGAGATTTTTCAAGGTGGGCTTGAGTGGAAAGTCACCCAGGGAATAAGATGAGGCAGCTCTGAGTGGCTGGGAAGCAATCCAAAGACACACCAGTAAGGAAGAGGAAGCACAATTATGTGGGAAACAGGGCTGGAATGGGTTGAGGCAAAGATCCAGGCAAAACTTTAGGTCTCCCTAGGTCAGACACTGACAGGAACTGAAGTGTGGGTAACTCAGAGAGGTGACCCCAATGTCCCGTTATTATCCCAGCTTTGTTTTTTTGCTTTCATATCCCACTGAAGTGACACCCAAAGCACAGCTAACACAGCCTGGAAACATCCAAAAATGTGCCAGGGGTGGCAGCAATGCCCTCCAGCCTGTGCCCCAGGGAACCCAAGGCCGTGCCAGGGGGGATGTGCAGACCACCGCTCCTGCAGTAGTTTCACGCTCCGCTTCACCTGGGGAAGTGGGTTTTTAAATGAAATTAAGCACCCCTATCAGCTTTCCTGCTGCTCAAGATAGCACAGAGTCACATTTTCCATGAGAAACCTCAATTCCACAGGAAAGCAAGGGAGCAGTCTTGGTCTAAATGACAAATCCAATCCAGCACCGCAACTTAATGCCGTAAGAGGGAGGAAAAAACCCCAACAAAACAGCAACCCTCAACCACAGGACCTCACAACATCCATGTCAGCCATAAAATACCACAGCACTGAGATACTCTGCAGGGGTGATCCAAGAACCTAATTCAATAGAAATGCACTCCCTTGCCAATGGGTATTAATGCTGCAGCAGACGGAGCTGCTTCGGTGAACCTTTTTTGATAAAAGGCCATTTGGCAAAGTTCAGAAATTTGCTTAAAGTATACAGATGGATTTATCAAATAATATACCCCTCAAAAAAAAAAAATTAAGAAAAAAAAGCTGTAAAACTCAAGCCTCCCTTTGTTTGAAACCAGTCTGGGGGCAAGCTGTGTGTCAATCAGATCTATTTATAGTTGAATTGCATTACAGGGTCCAGCACCAAATGCCACGGGAATTATTCACTGCTTGCACTCAGGGTTGTGGATTTCCAGCATGACTTGCAGGTAAAAACAACCTTAAACCTGGCACCTTCTCAGCTCTGAGCAGAAGGTGTGAGGTGGTGATGGGTCTGACCCTCTGGTGGCAGAATGTAGATCCCAAAAATGGCGAGGTAGGGAATACCAGTGCCTAAAGAAATCCTTGCCACCCTTAATCCAGGTGATCTTGACTCTGAGACTGGACAGGGGTGGGAATGCAGGGACAGGAGCTTCAGAAATAACAAATTTAGGCACCTTCCTGCCTTTAGAAAGCTGCGAGTTGTGTGAGAGTAACAAAGGATTAAATGTCTGCAGGAGTGAAACACTCACTTCCTGAGCTCTCCTGCTTTCTGCCAGCTCTTAGGAGCACCAGGATCAATACCAGAAAGTCAGGAGAGAGAGAAAGGCCACGAAGCTGTGGAGCCCAAGCAGAAAAATCTGTTCTTGCCAGCTGCAGCCCAGAGCTCTGGCTGGGCACAGAGCAGTGCCCTGCATTTCCCCTGCCACCAGCCCTTATTGGCATTTTCCTCCTTAGCTATTCCTCAGTTATCCCTGCCAGTAAACAGTCTCTAGGCAGAGATGACACTCAATAACTGGAATTATTAGTCACAGATTTCTTCTCTGTCCCCAACATCCAGGAATTGCTCTGTCCAAAAATCCTCCTCTCCAAGGCACCAGGGCAGCAAAGCCCAGTCTGGGCTCCTGCAGCATCTGTGGCACACTCAGGTGTTTGAGTTGATCACACAAACCCCAGAGCAGGATCTGAGCCTCACTAACTGATCCTTCACAGCCTCATTCTCATCCATTACCTGCTTTAATATGTATTTTCTCCCTTGATCTGACTGGAAAAGCACCTGGCTGAGATTTCAAAGAGCATCTCTGATTTGCAGCCACCCTCCCAGGACTCTGAAGTGTCACAATTTTCCCATCTGGTATGAAAAATGAGATGCAAAAGCATCCCAAGACACCATCACTACTGGAATCCCTGCCCTCAGCACCTCACTGTGACCCATTTCAGCTCTGAAATGATGCAGCCACAATTCTGAAATAATTGCTTGATGCAGCCACACTCACCATAAGCTCTGGGTATGTTGGCCGTTCTTTGGAATTCTTCTTCAAGCTTTAATTGGGAGAAAAAAGGAAAAAAATTAGAATTTACGTTCTGTCTGCAATTTAAGTAAGGCCATAAAATGATACCAAGACAGCTGTGAGGTTTAAAGGCTCTGCAGAACACGTTCAGCCACTCATCCAAGCTGAGAAAACAATTTAGGCCTTGAGGACAGCGACAGCAGTGCTGGGCACAAGAACTCAAAATCCACCCAGAGATCTGGAGCCACCAAAAACTCCACTTAAAACACTGCCTCTTGCTGGGGGCCAGGTACAACTGGGAGTCTGGGTGCTCTCCAACAGGCCAGTGACTCAGGGAATGGATGCAGCCTCCAGGCTCTGCCTGGGAGCAGTGGCTGAGTGGCTGCAGAGCACGTGTACAACTGTTTGTTTATCACCGTGCTGTTATCAGCGGGGACGCTTCCATGGGACATCCTCTTTTTCTCCCCTCTCCTACAACAGATGGCCCTGGAGGGTTGTAGCTGGAAGATATTTTGGTTTCCCTCCAGCAGAAAATAGCTTTTAAAAGACAGGACGTAATCTCTACTCACTTCCTGGCAGTGTATTTAGGGGAAAGACACTTGGAGCGACTTGAAAAGATCTTCACACACGTACGCGGCGGTGGCGGGGAAAAGGTGTCACACTGAGCAAAACAAAAGTGAGAACCTCTGCTGGGATTTGCTGGGGCCCAGAGGAAGCAGAGGACACACACTGAATAGATATTTCCTGCTTGCTGTGTGTAGAGGGCTCGTGTTTAGTGTCATGTTGTGAATGAACGGAGGAACCCGGGGCCGATACGTGCCAATATCGCCGGCCCGAAGGTACGGGATGTGTCACATCCTCCCAGCTCAGCAGCGGCCCCAGCCAAGATGACAAGGTGAATTTGAAGGTTAGCTGTGTCCAGATTTGGTGTAATTCTCTTAATTTAGACCCTCTACAAAACAAATTCATCCCCAGGTCACTCATAGCAGGAAATCTGGTGATAAGTTCCTGAAATCAATGTAAATTTTCAGGAATGAAGAGTTATATTGGGATCTGATCCTGACTCAGATATCCCAGGAATCTTCCTGCAGTGCCTACAGGTGATCAGACTTCACTGCCCAGGCAGCAGATGGATAAACACAATCATAAGACAGCTTGATACAGGGTGGCTGTGACCTGGTTGGGTGTCAGGAATTGCCAGACCCCAATAACACAAAACTGGTGCAAAGTTCACCATTCCCCACCCATGCCACCCTGCTGGCAGTGAGGGATCTTCAGTGACCCTGGAGGACAGGATTTGCAAAGCCAGGAGCCACCACGTGCTCCCCAAAGTGGCTGTGGATGTAATTCCTAAAGCAGCCACAAACTGCAAGACACAGAGCCTGGAAGAGCAAACCCCTCCGAGAGGAACAGCCTGCCTGGCACAAGCTGGAAAACAGCAGCTGCCCCAAAACCTCAGCGTGGGCCTTGCAAGAACGGGGGGCATCTTGTGAGAGGGTTTTTCCAAGGCAGCTCCCACCTCTCCCAGAGCCAGGGCAGGGTGGGCATGGCAGGTATTCCCCAGCGTGGGTCAGGAGCCGAGCAGCTGGACCACAGGGACATGAAAACATGCTTCAACAAGACCCTGAAGAATCTAAACGTGGGTACTGAGAGTGCCCAGGCAGGAGCAGCTGATAATCCCCTTCCAGGGGCACGGCAGCTCGGGAACAGTCTCACATTTCTGTTTGTCCATCTGCTGTCCTTTGTGGCCGCCAGGCAGACCCAGCAGCCGCCTGCCAACTTGGCAGGAGGGTGGGTGGCACTGCAGAGCCTGGAAAACCCGATCCTGCTGCCAGGCAGTGTGCAGGGAAGCTGCAGGGAGCCAGGGCGAGGGCAGACTGTGCTCTCTCCAGGCTGTGCTGGGGTGCCTGAGCTCTCTCCAGGCTGTGCTGGGGTGCCTGAGCTCTCTCCAGGCTGTGCTGGGGTGCCTGAGCTCTCTCCGGGCTGTGCTGGGGTGCCTGAGCTCTCTCTCTCTGTGCAGCCTGCAGACAGCAGCAGGGCTGCTCCAGCCCTTTTCCTACAGCACAGCCAAATGCTCCTGCTGTTTCCAGCTGCCAGGCCTGGGGAAAGCAGAGCAGCAGCCCCAGGGCCCTGGGAGAGGGACAGACACCGGCCAGAGCGGGACACCACAGAAAATCTGCCCTCAGAGCCGTGTCCCCTGAGAGAGGACACAGCCATTCCGTACCCTGCTGCCCTTCCCAGCCTCAGGGACACGAGCTGTCCCTGCTCACAGCAGCCCTGTGGGGCAGCCAGGGTGAGGAGACCCCAAAATCCTGCGTGTCCCCTCAAAGCAGCCCAGCCTGCTCCGCGGAGAGACGGCCAGAGCTGCTGTGCCTGCACGGTGCTCAGCAGGGCACAGCCCTTCCCCAGGCAATGCTCTGCCCAAATCTGGGGTTGGGAGCTGCCTGTGGAGACAGGCACCCGTGTGCTGAGGGTGAGCAGGGCCAGGGAGAGCGGGGACAAGAGGGAATTGTTACCATTGCGAGGTAAAATCCACGAACTCCGCTGAGAACTTCTCCGCTGGGAGCTGCGGCGACGGCTCCTCCACCACCTGCTTGAGCTGCTGGAAGGGCGTGCCCCAGGAGTCGTAGGGGAAGCGCAGGATGGCCAGCTCGATCTGGGGACACAGAGCCCAGACTCAGCACTGGGGGGACACCCCACAGCTCTGGGATTGCTGCCTGCCCAGCCCGGGGTGTGCTCCTGTAGGCTCCACACAAACGGGGCTGCTCAGCCTGGGGATGGGAACGCTCCAAGGAGATCTTAGAGCCCCTTGAGAACCTGAAGGGGCTTTCCAGAAAGGAGGGAGGGTGATTTTTTACATGGGCAGTGATAGAACAATGGGGATTGGTTTTGAACTAGAAGAGGAGAGATGTAGATTAGATATTAGGAGAGAATTCTTCCCTGGGAGGGTGGGGAGGCAGCTGCCCAAGGCCAGGCTGGACAGGGCTTGGAGCAGCCTGGGACAGGGGAAGGTGTCCCTGCCATGGCAGAGGGTGGAATGAGATTTAGGAAAGGATTTAAGGCCCCTTCCAACCCAAACCATTCCAGGATTCTATGATTTCCTCGCCCCACCTGGCCACAACACATTGCTCATCCTCCCCCAGCAAGCAGGAGAGGCTCAGGAGAGCCAGGCAGCTCCACGTGCAGTGTCCTGTCCCCCTGTCACCCCCTGTCCCCCACCTCCTGGGAAAGGCTGGGAGCAAAAGGCAGCCCCAGCACTGGGAAAACCCTTTAGGAGCAGATGGATTCCCCCAAAACACTGTCCTGAGGGGGCCTCTGGGAATTGCTGAGTGCTGGCAGGACTTTCTGTGCCGGGAATCCAAGCTGCTCCATCTCCTTAGCCCATGCTGCCATCTCCCGGCAGCTGCAGCCGGCACATCCCACCGAGCAGCTCCCTCCTCCTTCCATCCTTCCATCCTTCCATCCTTCCCTTCTTCCCTGTGTCACCTTCCCTGTGCCCTCCTGGGCTCTCCCTGCTCCCACCCCGGGCCACCAGCATCAATCCCTGAGCCCCACGGAGCCCTCCTGACCGTACCATGGTGATCCCCAGGCTCCAGATGTCGGATTTGACACTGTATCCCTTCTGGTTCAGCTCCGGGTTAATTCTCTCAGGCTGTGAACAGAGACAAGGGTGGCTGAGGAGCAGGGATGGCCCCAGTGCCCTGCCCACACCCAGGCTGGGTCTCTCAGGGTGGCAGCCCCAGCACCCCTTAGCCCAAACCTCGCCCTCCTGGCTGTGCTGGGCCCAGCTGGTTGCCCATCCTCACCACTACAGGTGATGCCTTAAGTTTGAGCTCTCATATCTCCCAGGTTCTGCACTGGGGCATAACTCTGAATTTCATAGAAAGTGTCAGCAGGGTCTCCTCACAGCTCAGCACACACAACAATCCTTTTCCAGACCAGAAACAAGGACACCACTGCAGCTTTGGACCCAAAAGCAACAGAGGATTGAGGAGAGCAATCTGGGAGGATGAGACTTCATTAACTGAAGCTGTAATTGCACAATTAACCCCAGTGTGGAAATGGACCAAGGCTTATGAAGGTGTGAAAAGGTGTGATCTGTCATCCATCCTGGGTGGAACCTCAGCCAGGCCCTTGCAGTGCCCAAGGTGCATCCTTGGAAGGGCTTTAAATAAATCCCTTTATTTAAATCACTTTACTCCTTTAACTCTGTCCAGCCTCTGCTCCAGGGAGCCTCTCCAGGCATCAAGGGCAGGCAGTGAAATGTGTCACCATGAACAGGTGGCACCTGCAGTGGTGGAGCTGACCTGGCACAGCTGGCACAGAGGGGCTGACAAACTCTCCAGGGCTGTTTTTACCCTGTTCAAGTGCTCCACAAAGGGTGAATCCTGCACAGCAGCTCCCAGCAGCCGCCCAAGGGACCCAGTCCCTGCCGACTGCTTTTCCTCCCCCTGCTAAGTACTGCTGTCCCCACAAATGGGGACAAATAAACAGGGAAGAGGGAGCAATTCCAGAGCCTTCCCAAGGTCACAGGCAGGCGAGAAGGCAGCAGGAAGCCGTGCCCAGATGAGATCTGAGCCATGAGATTCGTCTCCCCTCCCGAAGGGATTGTGTCCCTTAACTTCAGGGCCACATCTTCCCAAACGAATCCCTGGGATAGATGCCGGAGGCTGATCCTTCCCCCCGGCCTCATGTTCCTTTGGCTGCTCCCCAGGCAGCTTCTCAACTTACAGCCATGTAGGGTTTGCATCCTGCATCCATGGTTTTAGCAACAGAGTCAACGAGGTAACCGCTAATCCCAAAATCGCACATTTTCACCTGCCCCTGCGTATTGATCAACACGTTAGAGGGCTTTACATCTGCAAGAAGGAACACAGACCACAGTCACTGTCACGAGGGGGTGGCTGGGCCAAGCCACAAGCAGCCTCAGAGGGTTCTATCAGCAGAGGGCAGCCAAGGAGCCCAGCAGAGCCCAGCGCTCCGGGCGTGCCAAAAACCCGCTGGCCGCGGCTGTGGCGCGTTCAGGCGACAGCCTCATGGGCCTGTCATGTGTCCTGCTGCTGTCCCTTCACTCACACACTCCCCTCTCCCAGCTGGGGGAGCAGGAGGTGACTGCACATCTCAGGGAATGCTCAGGGAATGCTCAGGGAATGCTCAGGGACACCGGGAGCGAGCAGCTCCGCAGGGCTGCGGGTCATTCCGTGGGGTGTCTGCAAAGGGCTGGAGCTCTGGCAGGGCCCCGTGGGTCTGGAATCATGCCAGCACAAGGGAAAACCCATGGGGGAAGGATGTGGGGCTGCAGGGGAAGGAGGGAGCAGCAAACTGAGACGAGGATCAGAGGTTCAGAAACGACCTCTGATTTTAAGGATACGAAGCCCGACTGCAGCGTGAGCAGCAGCAGGAGAGTGGGAGCTCCACACCCCATGGAAATCAGGCCAGAGTCTCATCTACCTATTGCTGCCAGATTTATCCCTTCCCATCGTGGCTTTACAAATCCCTGGTGTGCTCTTCAGGCTCGTGAGGGCAGACAATCCCCAGCAGAAAAGGAATGAAGGCATCCAGAGATGCCGGGCAGTGATACCCAGGAGAGCATGGAGGTGTTCTCCTGCAGAGCAGAGCTCTGTGAGGCTGATCCCAGGTGGAATTTCAGCTCTCTCTGGGATGCTCCAAAGGGAGCAATCCTTTCCCTGCTGTCACCCAGAAATAACAGGTCACTTCCTGAAGATCCTCTGTCTCCACGTGATAAAGAATTAAACAGAAGAGCTGAAACAGCCTTTGAAGGATGCCAGAAGCTGTGGTTGAGTCCTGCTTATTAGAACTGTGGGTTTACAGCTCGTTAACATCTGCTCTCTAATCAGCATTCTGCAATCAAAAGCCTCAGGTATCCAGAATCCTCACCCATCTGTTACTGCACTGAAACAAGACCATTTTCAGTGGAAATCAAACAAGTGCACACAGAAACCCAGCAGCCCAGAAGGGCTTTCCACCTCCTTTCAGTGATACAGGAGGCAGAAACTCAACCCCCAGCCACAGAAGAATACAGCCAGTGCCACTGCCTGTTCCAGCTGAACTCTGCTGCTCACACACTCCAGGGAGGGCTCTTTCCTCCTCATGACAAATTGAAAATGACCCTTTAAAAAATAAAGGTGTCAAGCAGCAACTGCAAATTTGTTTCTGAGTTTGTTCACAGCAGCTTTGAGATGCTCCAGAGGGGAAAAAGTCAGAAGGGTTTAAGGAGGGGAATTTATGATTTCATTTAGGTGTCAGACTGCTGTGCTCAGGGAGGCTCATGGAGGGGGTGAGGATGGCTGGAGCAGTGCAGGAGGATGAGGATGGCAGCGAGATCCCTCTCACTGCACATCAGCACAGAGCCGTGGAGCAGCGGGACAAACCTGGGCAAAGCCTGCTCCAAAAGCTTTCCAAGGTCAGGGGAAAGGCCTGGCTCAATTTCAGCCTGGGTTTAGGGGAAAGCAGCCCCAGGGAAACAGCCTTTCCTCCAGCAGCCCCTTCTACCCCACTTCAGGGGAACACCGGGAGCAGCAGGCAGATTTCAATGAGCAAACTGCAGCCATCTCCTCTGCCTGGGTTTTGCCACAAGTCATGAGATGCTGGGGAGAATTTCTGCTGTCAAAGGCCCACTTTTATCTCGGGTATTTTGGGAGCCCTTGCCAGGCTGAGAGCAGGGCAGTGCGTGCCTGGCACTCACCTCGGTGGATCACGGAGAGCTTACTGTGGAGATGTTCTAGTGCTTTTACAATCTGAAACGACAAATCCGGAGTCAGTCACAGCTGGCAGCACCCAGGAGGAGGAAATGATACCTGGCTTCACCCCCAGAGCTGCCTGGAGGGCAGGAAAACCACGTCCCCCGTGAGTGCTGCACCCTGTCAGCATCCCAAGGTGTTGGTGGGTACCCAGGGACCTTCCTGGGGGTTCCAGGACCCTGATGAGAAGGGAAAGGAGCTGCAGGAGCCTCCCCACATCTCACACTGGGCCATCTCTCCATCACGTGTATGGATGGACACATTTATGGCTTATAAATATAAATATTTATGGCTTATAAATAACATCACTTCAGAGCAGACATGTGAGGCCAGCTGTGGGAAGGGCCCCATGGACCACCCTCCTCCTGCACATACAGCAGGAGCTTGGCTCAGGAAGGACCTGGCTTAGGAGAGAAACCCCTTTGCCTCCCCTCCTCACCCTGCTGCTACTCACAGAGACTGCAATTTTCCCCAGGATGTCCTCAGGAATCGTCAGGCCTTTGTCAATGACATGTTTGTAGAATTTGTCCAGTGAGGTATCCATCAGCTCCATGCAAATCCACACGTCTCCCTGGAGAGTAAAGCAAGCAGACACATATTGCAACAAAGCATCTCTTCTTTTTTCCCTTCCCCTTCCCTTCCCCTTCCCCTCCCTGGCCTTGTTGGCTTCTCCCTGTTTTCTAAAGCCCATTCAGCAAAGCTGTCCTGGCCTTTCCTTTCCCTGCTCTGGAATTCAGTGCTGATCACATTCCCTACCATTTAGGGCCTCCTCTTCCCAAAGCAGAGCCAGAGTGATTTAGGAGAAATCCAGAAGGTTATCAGGAGCTGAGGCTCCCGATGCCCAGCCAGGAGAAGTTCAGCTCTGCAGAGCTGTGCTTAAAGCTCTCCAATAAATCCTGCTTTCCAGAGCTTTCCCCACTTTTCCCCCACCTGGAGGGAACCAAGCCAGGCAGTTGTAATGCCACAGGACCAGGCTGTGTGCTGGTGGCCGTCCCACACTCACAGCCACAGCAAGTGACACATCCTTAGGGCAGGACCGAGCCAATCTCCGTGTCCAGGTGCAGATTAAACCCCTGGCACTTGGAGGAAGTGCAGGAGTGGGAACTCGGTCCCAAGAAGCCTCACCTCTCGGAAAAGCGCCCCGTAAAAGGTGACGGTGAAGGGACAATCCACCGTCCTCATGGAGATATCCAGATCCATCAACAACCTCTTCTGCTCCTGGCTGTTCACCGTGGCTCGGATCCGCTGGAAGGCACAGCGTGTCAGGGCTGGCTGCCCCAGGGCCCTGGCACCTCACCCAGACCCTTCCAGCACCCCTTTGTCACCACCTGTGTCACAGGCACGTCCCCAGCCCAGCACCCACGGCAGGAGCGCCCAGGGGTCCTCCCAGCACTGCTGCTTTGGCTCTTTCCCACCAACACCACTCCTTATGCAAGAGCCAAAAGAAAGAAGTGGCTTGGGAGAGGAGAGGGGAGCAGGAAATCAAATTCCAGGCTGGTGGAAGGCTGGGGCTTTGGGAGTCCAGTGGACATGTGTTACATCAGCAGGTTTTGGGCACGAGGAGAGCTCCAGCCCCCTCCACTGGGCTCCCATGGCTTTGGAAATGGGGCAGTTCCCAGGAAGAGACGTCCTTGAGGTGAACCCTGGGCTGGCTAACACCACAGCAGGGCACACACAGGTCACACACATCCTCCAGGCCACTCAGGTCAGATACAGAACTGAACTGCTCAGCATCACAGAGAGCCTGAATGCTCCTGCCGTGCCCAGCTGAGATCCCCATCGCCCCCAGAGAGGTGTCTGGCACTTTGCTGAACACCAAAGCACAGAGGCCCTGGGACCAGCCAGCACCCACTGCAAAATCTACCCACAACTGATGAGCAAAGAGTTTGTTCAGAGCTTCCAGAGCTTCTCTTACTCTGAAAGGAAGCTAAAATGCAGCCAGGCAAAAACTGGTCCTTCCCAAACTACAATTTTTCCCATGACCATTTCCCTAATCTCCAAATTTATGAGCCTAAGCTGTTGTTATGAAAACTTTTCGTGATAATATCTACAAGCCTGCCATGAGTCAAGATCCCACTGCAGCAGGCAAAACGTGAAAATCCCAACAAAAACTCCCTGTTCCAAGGAGACTGAAAAAGTCCCAGATGAAGAAGAGTCTCTTGTGCAATTAGATTTATTCTTCTTTATTATTATGAAGTGAATCTGATGGGCTTCAGCAGAAAGCAATGTGAATTTCTATGCATGTGTGTGTTTAAAAAATGATGGCATATTGAATCCTAGGCAAACAGGAATGGTGTGGATAGAGGTGAGCAGTGTGATGGATGCACCACAACGCTGGAGCATCCCACTTTTAAAACACCCCCTTTCCACAGTTAAATAACCCCAATCTCCCTCGGGCCCTGCGTGGAAAGAGGATTTCATGAGGAAAGCAGCAAATCTCAGGAAAGGAACAAGGGTGATTCCAAGTGTGCCCAGCACCCCGAAAAGGACAGACCCCCCGAGGCTCACTCTACCTTCACTGCCATGATCTGCCCGCTGGGCATGTGCCGCATCTTCTCCACCACCCCGTACGCACCTCGTCCCAGCTCGGAGATGGGCTCCAGGTCATCGGCCTTCACCTCAAAGTTCTGGGGGACAAAAGCCATGGGTGGCCGCTGGGTGTTTGTTCTGTGCCCCCTGTGCAGCCCCTCACTGGCCCTGGGGGGCTGCAGGGAGCAGCAGCCGCCCCACAGAGCTCTGAGGGGATGTGTTTTGTGGGCCTGAGTCCCAAAATCCCAGTCCCAGTGTGGGGAGGGGTGGGAGGGAGCACGCTGGGGCCATGGGGTCCATCCTCGCTGCCCAGGCTGTGTCCAGGAGCGTCCATTCCTTCCGTGGGGTGCTCTGCCCACCCACACCCCAGCACCATGGAATCATGGATCACAGCACCACAGAGTCCTCTGAGCTGGAATCCTGGAAAGGTTTGTGTGGGAGGAACCCTAAAGATCATCTCATGTCACCCTCCTGCCACGGCAGGGACACCTTCCCCTGTCTCAGGTGCTCCCAGCCCTGTCCAGCCTGGCCTTGGGCACTCCAGGGATCCAGGGGCAGCCCCAGCTGCTCTGGGCACCCTGTGCCAGGGCCTCTCACCCCCACAGGGAGGAATTTCCTCCTAATATCAATCTAGCCCTGCTCTTTTTCCTTTTGCATCTATTTCCCCTTGTCCTGTCACTCCATGCTCTTGTCTCGTCCCTCCCAGCCACCTTCAGCTGGCAGCACTTTCATTTTTCATTGTTCTCCATCCTCTGAGGGCTGGAAAAGGAAACACCACAGCAGCCCCTCCCCGGGAAATCACCTCAAATCTCACTTAATTTCATTTTCCTTCCATCCTCTTCTTCCCTCAAACAATCCAGGTGTTTTAAAGCTTATTTCTCCAGACCTGCAGATTGGCCAAATACTGAATTCACAGCTGAATGTGCCCCATTTTCAAATCAGGGAGGATCTCCTTTGTCCATCATCATTTTCTCCTACCTTTACACAAGGGATGAATTTGTATGGACCCTGCATCCCTGCCCTTCTCCTTTATACCACAATATCGTGCAGCCACTAATAATAATAATAATAATAATAATAATAACAACAATAACAACAACAACAATAATAATAATAATAATAATAATAATAATTTGATGTTTCAAATCTGCCTCTGCCACTAAACCCAGCCACTCTGTTTGCTGCAAGCACAAGCCCAGCAGTCAGTTCCCCTGCAGTGGCTGAGGATGAGCTGATTCCCAGGGAATAATCCCACATGGCTTTCTGCTGGCACAGCAGAAAAAACCCTGCAGGCTGCAATGAGCCAGCTGGGGATGCCACAGAGAGCAGGGAGACAATGTGCACAAGGAGCCCTGACTACACATTTTGGAGCCACAGCAGAGATTTAGGCATCTCTGACTCCTGCTGTTCACCAGGAGCCTCTCCAAAAACACGCTTGGAGTTTTAGAGTTTAAGCAGAGTTTAGAGGGAGAGCAGGGTGAGTGGCTTTCCCTTGGGGTCACGGGGAGTGTGGGAATGCTGGTGCCCATCCCAAAGGAACCTGGATCAACAGGTCACAGGTCCCTGGGAAATGCAAGCCAAGGTGTGCCAGTCCCTGAGGCAGCCACGGATCCATGCCTGGAAAACTCCAGGGCTGAGTGTGGCTCCCTCTGCAGTGTCCAGCCCTGCATGGAGCCCTTCTGGAGCCTTCCCTCACCCCTGGGACTGCAGGGGATGGGTGATTTTCATGGAGCAGGCATTTCTCTGCCTCCCTGCTGCACCATGCTGCTTCTCACACTGCTTCCCTGACCCTGCTCCAAGCCAGGGGAAATACAAAATGCACAATGAAAGGGAAGCCTCCAAAATCAGGCATTTTAAACCACTCTTGGATTAGCACTTCACTGCATAAATCACCTCACTGACACCAAGGCCTATCTTTTGCACCTCATAAATTTATTGTCCAGCTTTAAAGTGCTTTTTTGGAATTCTTCTCTGCCTTTTTCTCCCATCAAAATAACTGTCCTGGGGTTTGGGTTTTTTTTTCCCCTGATATTTTTTATTCCATCCAGGTGGACTGGTCTCCATGCTGCCAGAAGGATTTGCTTCCAGGGCAGGAACATCTACCCTGAGTTCAACTCCTGAGGAGATGACCTTCAATATTAGCAAAGAGAAATATTTTGGGTGAAGGCTTCAAAATCAGCAAAGGAACTGCAGAGGGGAGTGAAACAACTCTGTCAGCAACCCACTTGCTTTATAATGGTTATTTCCAGGGGATTAGCTGCACCTTAGGGCAGCGAGGAAGGAATTTCCATGGTGGAAAATATGAAGGGAGCCCACGTGTCATGGGAGGCAAAGGGGGCACGTCCAGCAGGGCAGTGCCAAGCAGCAGCTCCAGCTGGCCACGGGGCCACTCTGGGCTGCCACCCACACAGCCCTGGCTGCAGGAGCACAAACACCAGGTGCCACTGGGATATTTATGGCTGGATGTGGCTCACCAGCCCCCAGAGCTCACCAGCTCCCAGGATGGATCTTCTCAGCTTTTATTCACCCAGCAACTGCTTTCTCTTTCAGGTGAAATGAGCTGGGTTATTGTAATAGCTGGTATTTCATTATCTGCCTGTTTTGGGGGTGCTGAAGGGAAGCAATCCCACAAGCAGCCAGCCCAGGATGATCACCTGGTCTCAGCCTTACCTCCTCACCAATAGAGATGCAGGCTTTGGAGTCCAAATCTCTGGGTGGCCTGAAAGAAAAGGGAAAAGATTTGAAATATTCCCTACAAAGATCAATTTTCCCTCAGTGAGTAAATCCAACCCCCAAGTCACCCCCTCACACCCTGAGGCCCCTGCAGCCCTGAGCAGCCTCCTGGCTTTGCAGGATCAACAGATCCACAAAGTCACCCCAAAAAGGGCTCAGGAATTGGATTTCTCACACCCAGCTCGCCCCTGCAGGAACCCAGAGGGACTCACTGTGAAATCAAGGCAGGTGCCAAGCACCAAACCTCTGCCAGCCTGTATGAAAAATGGACTAACATGGGCAGGAACATCTAAACCTGCTATAAATCATCACCTCAGTCACACTGCACAGGTTAACAGGCTAAAAACACTCGATCCTCACCCAAGCAAAGAAAGCCAAGCAGGCTGGAGCTGCACAAAGCGCCTTAAAAACAGAGGGATTCCTTCTTCAGGGCTGAGCAGATGGGAAGGGGACGAGTTTTTATGCCTTGACCAAATGCCTGCTCCTCAAACTGGCAGCCCAAGTGCCACACACCAGTCAAAACTGGGGGCTCATTCTGGCTTTTATCTTCTCCTGCATCTTTCAGCAGCACAGGAGACACAAATGAGCAGAGGGTGATGGGCCCAGACCCCCTGGAAAATGCAAGGGCTGGGAAATTATCCCAGAATCCCAGAATGGTTTGGATTGGAAGGGACCTTAAAGACCATTTCATTCCACTCCCTCCCACCTCCCACTACCCCAGGGTGCTCCAAGCTCCATCCAGCCTGGCCTTGGACACTTCCAGGCGCCAGGCAAGGCTGGAAGGCAGCTGGGCTTGGTGGTTTGCTTTTCATTCTGCCTCAGTGTTTGCAGACTTACGTGGAGCTCGTCTGTGGCTGCTCAAAGGCTTCCTTAGGAATTTTCAGCCCAGGGTTTCTCTTCTTGCCTGCGAAACAAGAAAGAGGCAGAGTTAAAGAGAGGCACTTTTTTGTTGTTGTTATGATTTGTTTGGGGTTAATTTGTAAAACACAGCTTGTCTGTGTTTGCTGACCTTATTTAACAGAAATGCCCGGCCAGGCTGGTGGGGCAGACTCAGGGCACAGAGTTCAAACATAAAGTGCCTTTGTTCAGCAAGGTTTCATTTAAACCTGCGAGCCCTGGCTGCCAACTTGGTCCAGAAAACAGGCAAGAGCTCTGGCAAAGGCAGCCCATGAGAACATGCAAAGGGAGAGGTATTTCTCCTCCTACCCACGTAGGACCCCTTCAAACATTTCTCAGACTTAAAACCATTCCAGATACATAACTTCAAACCCTGGCAGGATGAAACATCTCCTTAAAACTGCATCTCAAAGTGCAGATCCTGATTCTGTTTAACGGCACATTTCGTCTCCTGGTCATTAAAGTTATGCAAACCCAGCAAAAAATAAAGCAGAATTCCAAGTTTGCAGGCTTCAAAGCCATTTGTTTCTATTCACATGGACCAGCCAAGCTTTTCTGAGCTGGATGCAGCTCAAGATCTGAGGCAGCTCAGCTGCAGCTCTCCTGGAAAGGAGGTCCAGACCAGCAGCCACGAGAGCCAGGCAGAGCAGAGAAACACAAGAACCTTTTTATGACTGCACAGATCCAGCCCCATTTCAGCACGGGGGCTCGAATTTATGGAGAAAAGAAAAAAAAAAAAAAATAGCCTGGAAACATCAGTCATGTCACCAAACCCCAAGGTAAACATCTGGCTGCTGGGCTGGGTAATAAAATCCCTGCTCCATCCACCCCCAAAAAAGGCACAAGCATCTAATTTAGGCATTCAGCATTTTTAATCTAACATTTTATATCAATTATTCTTTATTTTAAGCGGGAGTTTTATTCTCTACTCCCAACCCTCTCTCCCAAGGTTCACCTATACATGTCTGAATTTGTTTTCCCTTTTCACACATCAATAGATGCCTGTGCATCCCAGTGCCAGAGGGGTGCTGGATCAAAGGGCAGACAAACCAGAATGGAAAATGACCTTTATGAATCAATTAATCAATTCAGATTAGCAGTTTTTTTTAGAGTTTTAGTTTCTGGATTTATTTTTTGTTGTTGTTGTTTTGTTTGGGGTTGTTTTAAAAGTTTTTTTGTTTGGGTTTGGAGCTTTGTTTTGGGGTTTTTTTTTCCATTTTTAGTGATTTTTTGGGTGGGTTTTTTAGTATTTTATTTCCTTGTCTGCTTCAAAAGAGGGGATCATGCTCTCTCCTTTTGACAAAATCATTCCAGGATGGGGCAGGCTGCAAGAACCCAGCTGACACCTCGTGGGAACAGCATTTACTGGAAACCCCTGTGCACACTCACTGCTGGTATTACAAATCAACAGAGCTCTGAATGTACATAGGGAAGAAAAACTGGAAAAAAAAAACCCAATTCTCTGCTCCCAGGAGCTCCCAAGCTCACACAGGAAAAGCAAAATAAAAGCAGAAAGGTCATGGAGAGCACAAAGAACAGCTCAGAGTTTTCCCAAAGAGTAAAAGCTGGTGTGTAAGGAAGCAAAAACAATTCTAACAACCAGTGGAGGAATTCCTACAGTGAGCAGAGCTGCTCTTTGACCATTTTCCTTCCAGTTTTTCAGTTTTATCCATTTATTATCTTTTCAGTTGTATGCAGAAGGTGGGAGTGAGGAGCAAGCCCTGCTGTGCTGGATGCTCCAGATTCCCTTTCCTGCCCAAGTGCACCTCAGACCTGTGGGGTGTTAAACAGGGAGAGGTCTGCTGGATGCTGGCACATTATCCAAATAAAGGAATCTCAAAATTGCAGGTCTGGCAGTGCAGGCAAACAAAATCCCTGTTCCTCTGGCGTTTTCCAAGCTGCCATCACAGAGACCTCTCTGCCTCCTGTCTGCATCCTCAAGGAAACGAGACAGGCACGGGAAAAGCATCTTCAAACTGATTTTGCACGTGGAAAAGACACAAAAATCCATCAAACTGCCTATGGAGGAACTGCTGAACTAAATCAGGCCTTCACTTTGCTGCAATCACACAGGCACAAACAAAAGCAAACAAAAAACAGGCACAAATTCGCTCTGTTGTTCCCTTTTTTTCATTTTATCCTTCTTGGATTTGCTTGCACCACCTCATGTGCTGTCCCTGAAACTGCTCTGAGAGGGAGAAAATGAGAAAATGAACCTACTGGAGATGATTTGAACTGGACCCAGAACAGGTTCAAACTTATCGTGGTTCACACGTGTCAGCAGAACCAGGGAGCAAAACACCAAACCCAAATAAACATTAAAAGCCTTTCCTCCCTGGGAAATAAAATCTGCACTTTGGGGAGTTTATTTTCCTTGTCTCTTCTTCACAGAACACAATATTTTGAAATTCTGCCATTTTTCTGAAGCACAATCTGTCTGTGCCTTCGAGCTGCCAAGGCACAGGCAGAATTTAACATTCTTTGGGGTTTTCTTTTCAAGAAAGCAGAAAGCAACAACAGGAGCTTGAATAATGGATTTCATGATGGCACCAGGAGCAGGGATGGGAAGTGGGAATTGCCACGGCCAGGACTTGCACTTGCAGCACCCAAAGGTGCTGATGTGCTGACTCTATGGTTATTTAATGAATCCTGGGCTGAAATCAGGCGATTTCATGGCTTTTAACCGGATCAGGGCAAATTTCTGAGCTCCTTTTGTTCCAACATGCAAAGCACTTTATCCAAGCCTCTGGGGCCGATGTCTGTGCGTGGTGTGCAGGGAGGATCAGCAATCCTGAGCATGGCATGCTCTGAGAGCAGAAATGAGAAGCAGAGCCACCCCAGCAGGCTGCAGGAACCAGGATCCCCCTCCAGCCCAACCCCAGCTCCAGAACTCAACAGCTCACACATGACTTTCCCCCCAAACACAAACTTGAAAGGCTTTTTATTTTATTTTTAAGGAAAAGAATAATTGGAAGTCTCCAGATCAGTTCTGTTCAACAGGAACTGCCAAGCAAGTGTGTCGCTGTCAAAATAAAATCCCCCAGTTTGCCACAGCAGACGTCGGCTTGGGGAGATGATGCCGTATTAAAATCATCTGCACAGGAGCTCCAAATGTGGGGGCAGTTTAATAGCACACAAAATTGGATGGTACCTGTTCCATCCACCAGAAAAACCAGTGTTTTCCACGGTGTTTTTATGAATCATTACTATTTTTAGCTTTGTTTCCTGGACAAAACCACGGCGTGTGTTTATCTGCCGGTCTGTGTCGCTTGTGGCAAAGTGCAAAGCCACGGGCCCCTTCCAGCCCCATCTGACAGGGAAACTGAGCTTTGGGAGATTGCAAATCTGAGAAAAGCAGGTGATGAAATAAAGGAGTCCCCAGCTCATGGACTGAAACACAGCAGCCACCCATGGCAGGCACGAGGTGCCTCAGACACCAAAATCACAGCACAAGGCTCCGTCCTGAGGCACAAACCACCGGTTTTGTGGTGGCACAAAAACCCAGCAGAGGGTTTTTACTGCAATCCCTTGGGATTTGCAGTAAGGAAAGGCCCAGTGAGCCACCACACGCAGCACCAAGTCTAAATGTGGCTCCTCCTGCAGAAGGCTCTGCTGGTGGCTCAGCAGATGGGATCGTACATCTGCTCCCCAGCACCCAAAAAGACGTGAATTTTCTGTGTAAACAACCCCTGGAGCCTTGCTGCTCCCTGAGCCTTCGAGCTAAAGCTCATTTGAGAGCTCTCCCTGCAATTTGGCACATGGAGAAATCCACAAGCACTTGACTCAAAAGCCAAGTTTTAAGAATAATTGAGGGGGGAAAAAAAACCCAGCCTGGTTTGGAGTGATGCTGGGAGACATCTCCAGAAGCCAGCTTTGATAAGCAAAACGTGCAGGGTATTTGTGACGTTAAGCAGAAGCTTAAATCTGCTTTCTTTTGGCCAAAATAAATGGCCCACAGTGAATACTGAACCGAGTGGTGCTGAAGGAGGTGCCACCTGTACAAAACCTTTCCTGCAAGTGCACTGCTCAAGGCAGCGGTTCCACCTCAGGGTGAGAGGAAACAGCCTCAAATTGTGCCTGGGGACGTTTAGATTAGAAATTAGGAGGAATTTCTTCCCCAGAAGGGTGGTCAGGCATTGGAAGAGGCTGCCCAGGGCAGTGGTGGGATCACCACCCCTGAAGTGCTCGAGGTGTGGCACGAGGGGACACGGTGGTGGGCTTGGAAGTGCTGGGTTTGCATCCCATGAGCTTGGAGAGCTCTTCCACCCTTGATGACTCCCTGATTTTCTGGTTCTAATGCCAACAGCTGGCTGCAGCATCACTCAAACCTGCCCTAGCACCGACCCTGACTGCTCCTGCAGGGCCTGGACCAGCCCCGGGAGCCAAACGAAGCCTGAGAGCAAAACTGGAAGAGGAAAAAGAAACCCTGACTTAATGAAAGCACATTAAATACTTCCCTGTGAAGATCTTAAACCCAATTCCTGAGGGAGGGGAGAAAAACACACTTCCAAGGGGCTCGTTAAACTCTTCCCACCGGCACTGACAGAGCCCAGGGATGGATGTTGTTAACCCCCAGCAATTAGGGCACTGTTAAATATCAATATTGAAACAGGAAACTTCGGTGTTTCACAGTGAAAAGAACAGAGAATAACAAAGAAAGGGAAGACAGAGGAATTTGCTGCCCACATGGGCTGTAACAGAAAATCAACTTCTGAAGGAAAATCCCTTTCCCCACTCTCCAGACTTTTCACTGAAGTAAAAAACTTCTTATGATATAATCCAAAATAAATGGTTCCTTGCCACAAAAAGCTCCTATTTCCTTCAAAGGATATTAACTAGTTCTGTCTTCACCACAATTTATTATTAAGAATATGTTCAATGGCCATGTAGCAACATTTCCTTTCAAACAACACTCTCAAGCATATAACTTGCTGGTAAAATTTCACAGGCTGGAAATGCTGCTTTCTCCCATTTTTTTAGGAGATAAACGTGGCTCATTTACGATTC